GGTCATGGTAGCGCGCGCCTGTAGTTCCAGCTACTTGGAAGGATGAGGCGGAAGGATCGCCGGAGCCCAGCAGGTCGAGGCTGCGGTGGCCGGGAGCGGCCACTGCGCTCCATTCTGGGTGACAGAGTGAGACTCCAACTCAAAAAAAAAAGAAAGAAAGAAAGAAGAAATAAAAAAGAAACTGTCATCAGGCACAGTGACTCACGCCTGTAATCCCAGCACTTTGGGAGGCAGAGATGAGAGGATTGACTGAGCCCGCAGGTTTGAGATCAGCCTGGTCAACTTGGCGAGACCTTGCCTCTACAATAAATCAAAAAATTAGCCGGACATGGTGTGCACACCTGTAATTCCAGCTACTCGGAAGGCTGAGGTGGAAGGATCGCCGGAGCCCAGCAGGTCGAGGATGCAGTGACTGGGAGCGTGCCTCTGCACTCCAGCCTGGGTTACAGAGTGAGAATCGGACTCAAAAAAAAAAAAGGAAAGAAACTGTCTTCCAAGGAGGCTGTACCCATTTGCATTCCCACCAGCCAGGAATGAGTTTTACTGTTGCTCCACATCCTTGTCAACCTTTGGTGTTATCAGGGTTCTAAACTTTAGTCATCCTAACAAGCGTGCAGTGTTTTCCATTTTGTTTGAGTTTATACTTCCCTGATAACAGGATGTTGAACATCTTTTCACATGCCACCTTCCCTCTGTATACTTTCTTTGGTGGTATATTGGTTCAGGCCTTTTGCCCATTTTTGAGTCAGGTTGTTCATTTTCTTATCTTTGTATATTTTGGGTAACAATCTTTTGTCAGATATTCATTTTGCAAATATTTTCTCCCAACCTATAGCTTACCTTCTCATTCTCTTCACAGTATCTTTCACAGAGCAGAAGTTTTTTGTTTTTGTTTTTTGTTGTTTTTGTTTTTGTTTTTTGAGTTGGAGTCTCTTATCGCCCAGGCTGGAGTGCAATGGCATGCTCCCAGCCACCACAGTGTCATGCTCCTGGCCATCGCAGCATCTACCTGCTGGGCTCAGGCGATCCTTCCATCTCAGCCTTCCAAGTAGCAGGAACTAGAGGTGCGCGCTACCACACCCAGCTAATTTTTTGATTTATGGTAAAAACGAGGTCTCACCATGTTGTGCAGGCTGGTCTTGAACCTGCAGGCTCAGGCAATTCTCTCACCTTGGCCTCCCAAAGGGCTGGGATTATAGCCTTGAGCCACCAAGCCTGACCAGAAGTTTTTAGTTTTAGTGAAACCAGCTTTTCATATCTTTTTTTCATGCCTTTGTTGTTGTATCTAAAAAGTCATTGCCATGTGCAAGGTCATCTGAATTTTCTCCTATTGTCTTCTAGGAGTTTCATAGTCTTATGTTTTACATTCAGATCTCTGATCCATTTTGAATTGACTTTTTTGTGAAGGGTGTAAGGTTTGTATCTAGGGTTTTTCTTTTTTCTTTTTTCTTTTCTTTTTTTTTTGAGTTGAAGTCTCACTCTGTTGTCCCGGGCTGGAGTGCAGTGGCACACTCACGGCTACCATAGCCTTGACCTGCTAGTCTTAGGCGATCCTTCCATCTCAGCCTTCCAAGTAGCTGGAACCATGGGCATATGCCACCACGCCCAGCTAATTTTTAATTATGTATTTATTGTAAAGACGAGGTCTCGCCAAGTTGCCCGGGCTGATCTTGAATCCCAGGTCTCAGGCAATCCTCTCGCCTTGGTCTCCCAAGGTGCTAGGATTACAGGCAATGAGCCACCATGCCCAGCCTAGGTTATTTTCTATTGCATGTGGATGTCCAGTTGTTCCAGAACCACTTCTTTTTTCTTTTCTTTATTTTTTTTTCTTTCTTTTGCTCTCTCTCTCTCTCTTTTGGGGGTGGGAGCAGTCAGCATCTCACTCTATCGCCCAGGCTGGAGTACAGTGGTACACTCATTGCCACCACAGCCTCAACCTGCTGGGCTCTGGCAATCCTTCTGCCTCAGCCTTCCAAGTAACTGGAACCACAGGCACATGCCACTACACCTGGCAATTTTTTGATTTATTAGAAACGAGGTCTCACCAAGTTGCCCAGATTGGTCTCAAATTCCTGGGCTCAGACAATCCTCTTGCCTCCACCTCTCCAAGTGCTGAGATTACAGGTGTGAGCCACCAGACCCAGCTTCCAGCACCACTTGTTGAAAAGACTATCTTTGCCCCATTGTCTTGTTTTTGCTCTTTTGTCAAAGACAGTTGACTGTATCTATGTGGATCTGTTTCTGGACTCTGCATTCTGTTCTATTGATCTATTTGTCTATCCTTCCACCAGCACTGCTCTTTCTTGATTATTGTAGCTTTATAGTTAAGTCTAGAAGTCAGGTAATGTCAATCTTCAAACTTTGTTCTCCTTCAATATTGAGTTGGCTGTTCTGATTTTGTTGCGATTCCATAAAAACTTTAGAATCAGTTTGCTGAAATCCACAAAATTAAATGCTGAGAATCTATTTATAAAGTTGGGAAGAACTGACATCTTTACACTATTGAATCTTCTTTTCTGTGAGCATGGACTATCTCTCTATTTATTTAATGCCTCTTTCTTATTTATTTTATCAGAGTTTTGTCACTTTCCTCATCTAGATCTTGTACATATTTTATTCAATTTGCACCTAAGTATTTAATTTGGGGGCATGCTAATGTAAATGGTAATATATTTCTAACTTCAAATTCTACATGTTCATTGCTGGTATTAGGAAAGCAATTGATTTTTGTTTATTAACCTTTAACCTGAAACCTTGCTTTGATCACTTATTAGTTCCAGGATGGGGGAGATTGTTGATTATTTTGGATTTTCTACATAGATGGTCATGTCATCTGTAAATAGACAGTTTTATTTCTTTGTTCCCAATCAGCATACCGTTTAACTCCCTTTCTTATCTTATTGCATTATCTAGGAATTCACATATAATGTTGAATAGAAGTGGTAAGAGGGGACATGCTTGCCTTGAACCTGACCTTAGCGGGAAAACTTCTAGTTCCTATCATTTAGTATGATGTTAACTATAGGTCTTTTTGCAGATATTCTTTGTCAGGTTAAGGAAGTTACTCTCTATTTCTAATTTGCTGAGTTTTTATAATGAAGGGGTGTTGGATTTCGGTGCATGTTTTTTCTGTGTCTGTTGATATGATCAGGTGATTTTTCTTCTTTAGTCTAGTGATATGATGGATTCCACTAATTGATTTTCTAGCATTGAACCATCCTTGAATACCTGGGGAACATCCCCCTCACTTCTGTTACTGAGTGAAGCACCACATAGCTTCCAAAGACCCTGGTGCCACCCCTGTACTGACACTAATACCCCTGTGGCTCCCTCACACCTCTTTCCTATAGTACTGCAGAATCCCAGGTCAGGGGTGGAGTCCAATTTGTATCCCCAGAACCAGGATGAGGGCCTGGCACAAAGGGGCTCTCAGTAAGTATTTGTGGCAGGTCGTGGGGCCCATATGTTGCCACCCCACTCACACACCCAAACAAAATTGACCCAGGAGATGGCAATGCTCTTCCTGACTCAGGCCGCCAATTTGGAGAACTCTCTGCTTCCCTCAATAGGATTCTTTCCGTCACTTCAGAGCAGGGGCCCATGATCTCAACACCTTTCTCTTCCTCTGGTGTTCCAGGGTCCTGCCTTCAGGTTCCACCCACTTGCACTAGGGGTTGCTCAGACTTTATTCAACCACGCAGAGGGCCGGGCATGTTGGGACTACCCTACTGGATCAACATCCCCTTTGGTGAAGTCCAGACTCCGTGGTGGAGCCTCCATCCAGCTCCCACGTTGACTCCAGCCGCATTCAGTCTCACCTCCTGTCACCTTCCTACCCCAACTCCAGCCCTTACGTTAAGCTCTGGCTACAACAGACAACACACCAACAGGTGGCGCTTTCATACTACAAATACCTCCGGAGGGCCCTTTGTGCCAGGCCCTAATCCTGGTTCTGGAGATACGAGGCAAATTGGACCCAGTCCCGGACTTGGCATCCTGCAGTGCTCGAGGAAAGAGATGTGGGTGAGCTACCGGGGTTCAGCACCAGCATAGCGGTGGCATCAGGGCCTTTGGAAGCTCTGCAGTCTCAGGCCTCCAGGTCTCTGTTCCTTCTTTTTTTTTTCACATGAAAAGATACTTTTATCAAACTTCGAGTCTGAGAACATACAAATGTTTCTTTTATCATGTCTACAGTAATTGTCTATGCTTTTTCATTTAACTGTTGTTAAAAATTCCACAAATTCTCATTATTTCTCCTGTCTCAGCTATAGTGCAATGACTGGGAAGAAGAAGGTTGGTTAAATTAACCCCCTAAGCCAGGCTCGGTGGCTCAGCCTGTAATCCCAGCACTTTGGGAGGCTGAGGTGAGTGGATTGCCTGAGCCCGCGGGTTTGAGACCCGCCTGGCCAACTTGGTGAGACCTCATCTCTACAATAAAATCAAAAATTAGCTGGGCATGGTAGTGTGCACCTGTAGTTCCAGCTACTTGGAAGGCTGAGGCAGAAGGATCGCCGGAGCCCGGCAGGTCGAGGCTGTGGTGGCCGGGAGCGGCCACTGCACTCCAGTCTGGGTGACAGAGTGAGACTCCAACTCAAAAAATAAAAATAAAAACAAAAAATGAAGCCGGGCTCGGTGGCTCAGCCTGTAATCCTGCGCCTTTGGGAGGCTGAGGTGAGTGGATTGCCTGAGCCCGTGGGTTCGAGACCCGCCTGGGCAGGGAGACCTCATCTCTACAATAAATCAAAAAAATCAGCCGGGCATGGTAACACATGCCTGTAATTCCAGCTACTGGGAAGGCTGAGGCGGAAGGATCGCCGGAGCCCAGCAAGCGAGGCTGCGGTGGCCAGGAGCGGCCACCACACTCCAGTCTGGGCGACCGAGTGAGACTCCAACTCAAAAAAAAAAAAAATAAAATAAAATAATAAATAAATAAATAATAAATTAACCCCCTAAGCGGTTTTCTGCCGTCCCTTCTTTCCAATCAGAGGTTTGTGGATGTGAGGAATCACACTACCCCCAGCTATGGTAGCCTTGATGAGAGAATCTGACTCTCCATCACCACGGATTGCAAGCTGCAAGTGACGCGGGTTGATATGCTTGACTTTGAGATCCTTGGAAGCATTACCTGCCAGCTCCATCACTTCAACAGTGAGGTACTCTAGAATCGCGGCACTATACACGGCAGCAGTGGCACCCACCCGTTCATGGCTTGTGGTACGAGTCTTCAAGTATCTGTGGATGCGGCCCACAGGAAACTGGAACCCAGCTCTCTGTGAGTGAGACACTGCCTTAGCCTTGGTCTTTCCACTGTCCTTTCCAGCTTTGCCTCCAGCCATGATCTCGACGCCGACTCTGCCACTGCTCTCACAACACTGACCCTGTTCCTTCTCTTCTACGCTCCTTTCAGAATGTTCTCAATGGATCCTTGGCACAGCAAACTCCTATTCATCCTGCAATTTCCAGCTCAAATGTTCCTGCTTTGTTGGTTGCACCTTCTGTCCCTAAGTGCTCCTTCATCTTTGCTTGCACTTGGTGCACACTCCAAGACCCATCTTCAGTGCACACTATGCTGGATGTTCCTGACCCAAGACCCACCTTCAGTGCACACTATGCTGGATGTTCCTGAACCCAAGTGCAGCCCCCTGGGATAGCAAGATGCCAGCATCCCTTTGTGACCATATCCCACCAGACAGCCTGAGTTTCTGATTTTACCTACAGCTGCATCCTCCAAACCATCCTCTGTTATGGGCCAGTTCTAGTGTCCTCTCATCTCTGCTCCAAACACTTTTTTTGTGTTGGAGTCTTACTCCATCACCCAGGCTGGAGTGCAGTGTCACACTCATAGCCACACCAGCATTGGACTGCTGGACTCTGGCAACCCTTCTGCCTCAGCCTTCCAAGTAACCGGAACTGCAGGCATGTGCTACCACACCCAGTTAATTTTTTTTATTATTTATTGTAGGGATGAGGTCTTGCCAAGTTGCCCGAGCTGATCTCGAGCCCACGGGCTCAGGCAATCCACTTGCCTCACCCTCCCAAAGTGTTGAGATTACAAACTGAGCCATCGAGTCTAGCCTGCTGCAAGCACTTTAATCACCAGCCTTCACCCAGGACTGCCCTATCACCATTTAGAATAGAAACTCTTGAAAGCAGGCAGTGGCACTGGGATGTCAGGAGACCTGGAAGGGCTGCTCTGTATGATTGGGCAGGTGGTTCACATCGCACATCGAAGGGAGTGCCATTCACATCATGAACACTGTAGATTTGTACATTTTGAATGCCAATTTCCTAATAATCAAGGTTCTTGAGGAAGGAACACCTTTTTCTAATTCTCAGGAAGGAGTCTCCGGTCCCACAATGGTCTGGGACTTGAGGTGGCCAAGGTTGGAGTGAGCTGGCTGCCTGGTGTACTGGACAATACGAGGACACTGGGTCGTGCAGAGACAAGGGCGGGCGGGGAGGCAGAGTGTGGTTCCAGATGCAACCGCTGCCCTGGGGTTCTCTCTGTACTGTACTTTCTGCTCTTGATATCGCCCATTGGGCCAAATGCAACCAGCTACTGATTAACAGAGGCCTCTGGGCACTGCATGGCTTTTCCAATGAACTGTAAGTGTGTAAACTTTTCAAAGTCAAATATAGGTCAAGAGGCATCTAGCACAGAGGTTAAAAGCAAGGCTTGCCAGCCGCAATGGCTCACGCCTGTAATCCTAGCATTTTGGAAGGTGAAGGCAAGAGGATTGCTGAGCCCACGGGTTTGAGACCAGCCTGGGCAACTTGGCAAGACTTCATCTTTAAAATACATTTTAGGCCGGGCTCAGTGGCTTAGCCTGTAATTCCAGCACTTTGGGAGGCCGAGGCCAGTGGATTGCCTGAGCCCAGGGTTTGAGACCCGCCTGGGCAACTTAGAGAGACCGCATCTCTACAATAAAATCAAAAATTAGCCGGGCGTGGTAGCACGCGCCTGTAGTTCCAGCTACTTGGAAGGCTGAGGCAGAAGGATTGCTGGAGCCCAGCCGGTCGAGGCTGTGGTGACTGGGAGCAGCCACTGCACTCCAGTCTGGGTGACAGAGTGAGACTCCAACTCAAAAAAAAAAAATATATATATATATATATATATATATATATATATATATATATAAAATTTTTAAAATTAGCTGGATGTGGTGGCAGGCATCTGTGGTTCCAGCTACTTGGAAGGCTGAAGTGGAAGGATGGAAGGATCACCTGAGCCCAGCAGGTCGACACTGGGGTGGCCATGAATGTGCCACTGCACTCCAACCTGGGCGACAGAGTGAGACTCTGACTCAAAAAAGTAAAAATAAAAGAGCAAGGCTTGCAGCGTGGGATGTGACGGCAGCCCCAGCTGTCCATGACCTTGGACAAGTTAGCTAATTTCTCAACTTCCTCACTGCATGGTCCTATTGAGAAGAAGAGATACGATTTGGCACGTAAATCACTTAGTACAGTAAACCTTGATACCAGAAACCACTTAAGAATAAAACAATAGACCCGGCTCAGTGGCTCAGCCTGTAATCCCAGCACTTTGGGAGGCTGAGGTGAGTGGATTGCCTGAGCCTGAGGGTTTGAGACCAGCCCAAGCAACTTGGCGAGACCTCGTCTCTACAATAAATCAAAAATTAGCCGGACGTGGTAGCACACTCCTGTAGTTCCGGCTACTTGGAAGGCTGAGGCGGAAGGATCACCTGAGCCCAGCAGGTCGACGCTGGAGTGGCCGTGAGCATGCCATTGCACTCCAGCCTGGGTGGCGTGTAGTAAGATTCTGACGCAAAAAAAAAGCCGGGCTCGATGGCTCAGCCTGTAATCCCGCGCCTTTGAGAGGCTGAGGTGAGTGGATTGCTTGAGCCCGAGGGTTCGAGACCTGCCTGGGCAACTTGGTGAGACCTCATTTCTACAATAAATCAAAATGAGCCGGGCGTGGTAGCACGCGCCTGGAGTTCCAGCTACTTGGAAGGCTGAGGCGGGAGGATCGCCGGAGCCCAGCAGGTCGAGGCTGCGGTGGCCGGGAGCAGCCACTGCACTCCAGTCTGGGTGACAGAGTGAGACTCCAACTCAAAAAAAAAAAAAGAAAACAATGATGAGAGGGAGTTGCCAGCAGCACCAGGATTGACCGACCGACCCATCCTTAGGGCCCGGGAGGCACAGGGCTCTGATGCTTGTAGGATTTCATGAAAATGTTTTAACTTCTTTATAAAATCAGGAGAAAAAAATGAATGTATGATAAGTATATCATAATATATTCAGTTTGGATTATATTCATCTTTAAGCCAATGTAGTTTTAAAATATAATTTTTTTTTTTTTTGAGTTGGAGTCTCATTCTGCCACCCAGACTGGAGTGC